CGGAAGAGAACCCACAGAAGGAAGGAAATGAACGGTTTGAGCCTGTTACTAGTAAATACTATTTATCCCTCCATCCACAGGCATACATCTTATTTGTACCACTACTACACAACCTAGACCAAACATGAGAACCATAACACTTCAGGGAGCTAAACATATAAAACTCCCATGACAGAATTAGCTTCTGGGACAGAGCTAGCTCATAAGCAATAAATAATACCAGAAGACTCAATAAACAGGATTAAACCCCATCAAAACCCCTACGCATTATCTGTAGATTTTGCGCACAACATGGAAGATGGTCCAGTTGTAAAGGATAGCTAAGTCAAAGTCGCACAGGCAAATGTAGTCCTATATTTTCTTGCTTTGGAATGCTTTATTTTACAGTATTGGATCTCTTCAGTTGTAAGTTTCTTTTTATATATAGTATCTTCATACATCCATATACAAGACTTACTGGAATCTTTTTCAGTATTAAGCCATCTGGGACACAGTGCTAGGGGAGTTTGGAGTAAAAGGAATCCAAATATCTGTTCTGGTAAAAGTGCTTTCTGTTCAGTCCAAGAGTTGTTTTTTAATAAGCCTAAAGAAGAAATAAACAAACAAACAAACCACAAAATGTAGATGTAGTTATGGTGAAGTAAGCCGGGGCATGTAATCCCTGCAATGGAAGGTGATGGCTGAGCTCAATAGAAAGCCAGTCGTTTGGCAGAGTCTGGGGCATCGGCACTGACAACATCCTTCTGGGAGTATTCAAACTAGAATATTCGAAGCAGTAACAGATACAAAACTGTATCAGCAATGAAGCAAATAGCTTTTTTTCTTTCTTCTTTTTTTTTTTTTTTCCCCTTTAAGAATAAACCCATGAGTTATAATAGAAAATATTGGCAAAAAGTGTCTTTGTGTGAAATACTGTAAAGGCTTATGCCTTTGAATGTATTAGGTCCAATTTGCAGGGCTGTTGCGACTTTGCCAATTGCATAATTTTCGGTTGTAATTATGAGATATTGCCATCAGAAAAGCTGACTTTCCTTTTGAAAGCCCAATCCCGAGAAGGTACCAGAAAACCAAGACTCACCCTCAGTATTTCTGATCATCCTTTAACAGTTTCTTCTGATGGGGTAACACTGGTTACATAATTGCTTTGCTAGAGAGCTTTTGAAAACTGGTCTCTCAAGCTTAGAAAATCTGCGTGAAGAAAGTAATAGTTATCATTCAGACTTGACGCCAGACTCTAATTACTACTTCAAACACAAGAATACAACATCAACAGGGTTTTTTTTAATCTCTGGTACACTGCAGTAGCCACACCTACATCCTCTTAGAAGAAATGTATTTCTCTTTTCCTGAATGCTTTGCACGAACATGTATTATTGTGTACATGTAACTTGGTCCAGAGTTCAGCTTTTCTCGTTTTTTACTCCGCTGATCTCATTGTCATGCTTCATACAATACTGCGTTTAAATTACACTAGGCTTACTTCAGTTGCTGTTACCCTTCAAAATTCCCCTTGCTTAGGAAAGATACTGTGCTGATGGTATACGTGGTAAGGGCCATGAAGCTGCCGTTTCACTTTGCCCTTGCCACATTGGTTTAACTAATCTGCTCAACTTGGTTGTGCTCGGTAGCATTAGGTTTAAGAGTGTCACTTGATCCCAGAACGTGCTGGGCTCATATAGCCAGACAAGACGGGGGCCATGAAGTAAAGATTATTTTCTTATCTGCAGTACTGTGTTTCACCTTTATTGCACTATCTGTTCGGATGGCAGTCGCTTTAGTTGGACTACCAAGCTAAGCCCACAAATAGCATTATTACATGATTTTCAGAGCAGCCAAACCACATGCTTCATTCCTCATTTCTTAGACTGATTGTATACATGCTGATTGTTAAAAATGAGGGCACTAGACACCAAAGGAATTCAGCATTAAAGAAATACTGTGTTTTATTGAAAAACATAATGAAACCCTAAGTTCTCGGTTCCTGCAGGATCCTGAGCAGTGCTCACTCTCTCAAACAAAAACCCCAAGCCCCCAACTGTATATTTTGACTATGTGTATCTGACTTGCAAAAAGCACAGGTTTTGAAATTTTCCTATAGTTTTCCAGTAGAGACACAGGCTTCCTTAAAAAGTTTAATGTATGGAAAATATGTGTGAGCTTGTATTTTGTAGTCATATTTGTGGCTTTCTCGAAGGTTGCCTGTAGACTTCTCTACACCCAGGGACTGAAAATCACTGCCATATATTACACAGACATACTAGCATGGTAAACGTATTTCTTTTAAAGGGGCTTGTCTGAAAATGTTTGTAATTTTTTTTTTTCTTGATATGACCTGCAGTGCAGACCCCATATGGAACATAATTTGAAATTAATGAGAAAGCCCTAGTTGGGGTACTACACACTCCCACAGAACGTTTTCCTGAAACACCTACCATTAGTTGAATTTGGTTTGTTTGAAAGAGTCTGTGTTGTCAGGCTGATTTTGGTGATCAGTAATGAAGAACAGAGGGGGGCTTTCTTTAAGGAGCTAAAATAAGACTCTGAAGAGCTGGGCATTTGTGGGGCAGATGGACTTACCCATGGAAAGTGTAACAACCTCCTCATGTTGCGCATTATGTACATTGTCATACAGTGACTTGATAGTGCTTTATTATGCAATCCTAGGATTGGAAGAAGCATAAGGTGTCACCCAAAGGGAAGAGAGGGGGAACTACTAATGCTGTTAGCAGAATTTCCACTTTGCAGTACCAAAACAAGACCTGCAGAGATGCTTGGGAATGAGTTCCCTCATCTTGGCTTTCCCACATTGGTTTTTCACAGAATTTAGCAGGCAGAGTGTACCCAGGATTTGTTCTTAGTCCTTGAGAGAGATCTTGAATCTCCCTGGAGAAAAAAACATTCTTTCTATCCCCATTGCTCAGTTTCCTTAGTACTAATAACACAAGATAGGACCGGGGAAATACAGCATTCAATCTTCATTCCGCCAGAGACAGGCTTCAAAAGAATATCTTAAATGACTGAGATGTAAAATAACACCTCTAAAGGGATATAACTTCTTCCTGATTTGAGCACTGAAAGTAAAGCCAAGAACAGCAAAAGAGACAGTGTTCACCAAAAGAGGTTCCTCTCTGCTCCTGCATGGTCCTGCTTCAGAGAGGTTCTTCTGTCAAAGAAAGAGCCCACACATGTAGCCACTCTGACGTCCATCCTAACAGCCACCCTGGAGCACCAGGGACAAGGCTGCGGTCAAGCCAAGGAGGTGAAACTCCTGCTGGAGATATTTCGACAGTGTTGGGACTACACTACCATCCTCTAAATACAGTTTGTGTCATAGACCACGAAAGGTTCCGATTTTATCCTTCAGGTTTTATGGGTGATTCCCATGTCTTTGAAGTTCTGTTCCCACTGAAGATGAAGGCAAATTCCCACTGAAGATGAAGGCAAATTCCCACTGATATTAATGGGGCTAGGATGTGTCCTTGTCTCTATTTTTGCTGTTGTTTCCTTTGTTGCAGAAGACCTATTCCTTTATTAAAGCTTTGCCTGGGGGGGGGAACAAAAGCCAGGTTACTAAATAAATTATGAAATATTTACATTTCTGAAGCCAACCCCTTATGCCTAGCTCCTCCTCTGATATTAAGATGACACTTTTTATAGAGCTACAGCTTCTATACTGCCATTATTCCTCTGTGGGATCCAAGACCTGGAGGTGACAAAACAGCAGGCCACCATGAGCCAAGTGACAGTAAGTAGCATTTAGGAATGCTTGCTGACTTTGACTCAGTGCAGTGAGAAACAACAATGTTAGACTGGTGGTGGTTTGTTTAGTGCTGGAGAGCAAAGTAGGATCAGAGATGAAACCAAAGAAAATATAAAACTGGGGAGGTTTCTAAACTAAGCTTGATTTTTACCTAAGAATAAAAGGCCTTATGTTGCAGGTATGTCTATAGTAATAATCCCAAGAGCAAATTGTTAAAGGCATCAATTTGCTTAGCACTGTTTGTTTGTTCTTTTGTATCTGTACTTACTTTTTTTGCCTCCAGTTCTCTCAATGCCACAAGAATGAGTGAAGCTAGCTTTAGTGTCATCATGTGTAGTGAAATGATCTGCAGTTACGCTTGTGAACATTTTGCATCTCTTTTTTCCATTGTATTTTTGTGTTGACTTTAAACCTCAATAGTAGCTCCCTTCTTTAAAAGCAAATGGTTTAGCATGTTGTTCAAATATGTGTGGTTCAAACTATTTAGCTTAGCTTATGAATTTCTCCCACCCACTTTTACATATTTAGTGCTTTTGACTTTGATTTGCCCCACCTCTTGTAGGTTTGGTAACAGACGTGTAATGACTTTCTCTTCAAGTGCTGGTTTGTTGGGGTTTTTTAATACTTGGCTAAGCCACTTCACTTATGCCTTTCATTTTTATCTCTCAGGCATAGCCTATGGAGACTATGTCTGTAAAATGGATTAATGCTAAATAACTATCATAGTAAATGAAACATCCTATTAACTGGATTTCTGCACAGTTAACTCCTGATGGTTCTCTGTCACCAAACTGCAGGTCTCTTTCCTCCCTGGTGTTGCCCATCCCAGTGCTCCTTTTGCTCTTCCCTTGCTTTTCCCTTCTCACTCACCTTCAGTTGTCTTCCCTCTTCTCCATTTCTCCTGCTCCTGTTCTCTTTTTGCTCCTGTTTCTCTGGTTCTTCAAGCATTGCGGCAGTAAAGAGGAAGGCAGGTTGGTGGGCAGCTGGAAGCACAACCGCACTAATTGTTCCTATTTGCTGTGCATCATTTCTTCCATGGTCTTCCTTTGCAAAATGTCGCATGCAGAATTGTCAGTTCCCTCATTCTCACCTTGACTTTCATGAAATAAATATTTAGTAGTTAGAAAGCAAGAGAGGAAAAGGTGCAGATTCCATTTTGCACAATGCCTAGGATTTACAAGGTCAGTAATGTGAATGAAGCAGCTTTCAGAGGAGGGAAGGAAACTTCCTGAAATGGGCATTTTGAATCCTCAGCATGAAGTGGTGGACAGTGGTGATGGGCGTACTCATATCAGCACAAAACCACTTTTTTAAACTGCACTATAGCAAGAGAAATACTGATTTTTGGCTGACACACTCTTAGCCCAAAAAGGAAATCTGAAAAAAGACAGGTACAAAAAAGCCTTGGACCTAAACACTCCCACACTTCAGAAAGTCAGAAGTAAGGAACAAAAAGAAAACATTTACTGTTAATGGCTTTTAGTGAGCTTTTGGCAGGTCTTGGAATGTAATGGGGAAACCCTGAACTGCTGTAATATGACATGTTTAATTGCGGGCATTAATGCATGTGAAGACAGATTTTTGGGTTATTGTATGACAATGCACAACTGTGTGGCTAATTTGCATACAAAATTTCTATGATTAATAAATTAGGCAATGCCAGTACAAGTGTACTACAGTGAACCACTTGTAGCAATCGTCAGCGCTCGAGCAGGCAACATCAAATAGTATGCTCTGCTCCGGCAAAGCTTTGAATATATGAATATTAGTTTGCAGTTCCTAGGCTGCAAAGTGATCAGAGGAGGGGAAGAATGTTCCTTACTTTTATCCCTCTTACAGGAGAATCAGAAAAATCACCAGAATACCTTGTGCAGAAATGTCAAACAAATTCAACTGATAAAAAATAAAATCAAGAGGATTTACTAAAAATCACTCGAGTACAAGTGTAACACAGCTGTTTATAAAAGCAAGATATAGTTTTTTCAAGTCCTAATATTTTGTATTTAACAGTTTGAGTAAAATGAACATATCAAATATGCATAGAGTAACATACTCAATAGTGGGATTAAAAGTTAAAAGCATAAAGATAAGCATACAATGAACATATTATGAGCTAGCTCCTGTGCAAGGCAAAGATCTGAAAGTGCTACAACTGATTTCTGAGTTCGTATGCAGCTTCTTTTACTGTATTCACAATGAATTCATATGAGAAAATTCAGCAAATTAGGACTTTGATCTGGTATCTCCAATATCAACAGAGAAGTGCCAGATGTGGCTAAAATACTCAGGCTGTCAGGGTATCTAAAAAGCATTGATATTGATAGCCTAGCTTGAACTTTCAGATCAGGCTCTCTGCCCTGTACTATGAAGAATTTATTCCCTGCTACAAGAAGGGTTTTTCCGTGCTTTGCCTAGCATATATTTCTGTTCATCTCCACTCTCATCTTTAAATCCCTGTCTTTTTAAGAAATCTCTTGTGAAATTAAATTGGTGCATCATATTCTTGCATCACATTCCGAGCACAGTTAGGCTTTAGGTTACGGTGAGCTTTCAGAAGACAGTGCCAGCACCACTCTCTATCCCAAACATTTTACCCAGGGCATAGGCAGCTTGTATGTTCTGAAGCAATTACTATGCTAAGTATCCAGTGATGTATCTTCCCAGAAACTGGAAATCAAGGTATAAAAGAGATCCACTCAATAATTTATGGGCGTTAACATATGGGCGTAAGTTTCTCTGGGGATAATTAGGTGACTATGCTAATAACAGCAAGGATACTTTGATACATTAAAACAAAATCTCACAGTGATGTTCCTGAGCATTTCATTACTGTCAGGAGTGTATATATTTAAACAGAAGAGGGAGATGAGACAGGCCCATATGTGTTCACTAAAATAACCCTCTCCCTTCACGCCACAGGCAAGCAGAGGAAGCCCTGTTTGACTCAGGCGTTTGCAGTAGGTGTGTTCGCTGCAAACTTCCCATTGTGGGAATAGAAAACTACACACAGTGTGCTGAGAGGGGAGCAGGGTGTGCGGTCTGTGTGGATGGCTGGAAGAGTGGGCATTACTGACAGTGAAACAATCAAAACCTCGGGGGGGTGGGGGTTGCAGGACTTGTGTGCAGCCTAGCACACCTCAGAGCAGACTTTGCTGTGGTTCAGAAGTGCAGCGGCAGAGCTCCATGACAAGTCGGAGTGCCAGGCTCCACGCCTCGGAGAGGGGAAAGTTCTCAGCTCAGTCAGAGAAGTTTCTCCCAGAGCTTCCCTGGACTTGCTGGCAGACGGCTGGCACAGAGCCCCGGGTGTCACTGAGAAATTCTCCAGCCCATTGCTCGCCGCTCCCATTATGAGGGCTCTGTATTTTCAGTCATTGTGGAGACACCAGAACCAATCGCACCTTGAAGGCTGCCCTTTGAAGTGGGCTCGGATTGCAACGCCTGTGCCTGTTTCCTAGTATTGTAACCACCCTGGAATTAAACTTAAATTCTTATGTCTTCAAATTTCTTTTTTATTTATCTTTTTTTTTAGCATTTCCTCTAATGGGGCCAATGTCTGATCCTTTCAGCTTTTGCACTAAGTCTGTGTAAAATTACACTCTTCTAACACAGTGAACCACTACCCTAGCAATCCACAATTTCCAGTGTTACTGAGGCATCCTCATGGATACAAGGGTTTATAGAAAAACCATCAGGGGTTTTTTTGAGCAGTGACAGGAGGCAGGGTTCTGCCTTCTCCCTGGGATGATGGTGGCTGTGTTGAGGGTAGGAGATGCCCCAGTGGGTGAGTGAGTGGCAGGCATGTATTTTCGAGAGGCTGTATTTGCATTTCCTGCCCCTTGCGAGCTTGTCAGGCCTGCTGGGACTGAGTCTCGGCTTGTGGAAATGATTACAAGGCAATTTATACCAAACAACAATCCCTACTGTTGTGTTTGTTACAAACTTGGCTTCAGTACAGTAATGCTTAGTAGATTAATAATGTCTGCATTTGGCCTCTCCTCTTCCCTGAGCAAACAATTTTCATGTATCATACATGTTCTCATTTAGTCTAACTAGAACACAGTCCAAGGGTCAGAATAGCCATACCTGCACGTTGAGGAGAGGAGACTCTGGGTTTCCACTCGAGAGACCAGCTTTATCCCCTCTCCACACCAGGGTCCAAGAAGACATCTGCTTTTGCAGCATCAGCTTTGCTGGGCAGGTCCCCCTGAAATCACATAGCAGGGCAGTGCCAGATGGCCCCTTCTGCAAAAGAGGATCTGTCCAGTTGAAAGGGTTGCAGTGGGCAGCAAAGGAAGCACAGAGTCACTAGGACAGGCAGATACTTCTTGAGCATTTGGCATTTCAAAAAAGAACCCCAAATTTAAAAATAAAAAAAAAAACAAAACCAAACCATACATATATAAATATATATATATAAAGTATGCAAAAAAAAGTATTTCACACCAACAATTGGTCACAGTGCGTGCTATGAGGGCGTACAAGGTTGACTAAGTGGCTTCCGGTCTTGCCTTTACACGGGAAGCCCAAAAGTTACAAACCCCTTAAAACTCTGTATGGCTTATCTTGTCGATTATCAGTCTCTTGTGGGAAACAGTGAGTCTGCCCACGTTACGTAATGTGTGTAGCAGGAATACCAGGATATGCAAATACAGAAGTTACACAATGAAAGCAAAACTAAATTAAAGCTGTTTACAGTCAAAAATGAGAACCGGCACTACAGCCTTTTTATTGCTACACCACTGAAATGAGTGTGTGCCACAACCTGGCTATTTAGGTGCTTGTAATGTATGGTACAACTGTTTCTCTCCATCTTCCCACTGCAGTTTATACCTCCTCAGTAACAACTAAAATGGCGGCTACCCATCGTGGGTGTAATGAAAGGGGAATGCTGTAAGTAGTCTTGTGAAGTTTATGGCAGCTCTCATTTGATCAAATTATTAAGAATAGCAATCAGCATGTAAAGTCAAGTGATGGGCTGTTGACTT